TGGTATTTTGTCTGATATTGGCGAAGCCGAGCGGCCGCGGTTGGTATTCTTTCTTTCTGTTTTTTTGGGCATTTTTGTCAAATTATTTATAAAAATGGAAATACTATGTAATATATGCATTAATTTTCTATTTTTAGTACAACTTATGTATATAACTTTTGGTCTAAATTTTATATACTGCATTTAATAATATTTTTATATTTTTAAAATTAATAATTATTAATATATATTCATTTTTCAATTTTAAAAATAACATATAGGAACCCTCCAGCAAAAGTGGGACTCAGCTGATCACGTGATTTTGAGAAAATTGCAATTTAAGTTATGCGACCAATTTTTCTGGAAAATTCGATATTTTTCAAAAATGGTCTTTATAACCTAAGACAAAATTTTACAGACAATTTCTTGAGGGTATTAACTCTCTTTTATTTATTTTATTTTTATTTATATTATGAAATACGTAATTATATAACCCTAAAATCTTATTAAAAAAAACAGTAAAATTATCTATTAAAAACAATTTTGTTTATTTAAAATTTCTATTGTCTGAAATGCAAAAAAAAACTTCAAAATGGATTTATATTATTTAATAGCACTATAAAGTTTTAAATTTACCTTAAAACTTCTAACTTAATTAGTATTAAATTCAACTGGCTTAGGACATGTAATATCACGGTAAGGTAAATCAACATAAGGTGCAATTTCTTTATACAATTCCTCTTGTCTTTTTAAAGAAAGTGGTCTAATGCTAATTTTGGAAGGTAGAATACTGGAATCATATGAAAAGGAACGAATTGTAATTTTTTTATAATCATCTTCAAGCCTATCTTTATAACAAACTACTCTGGGATCTTTTGAAGTAAAGTAAAAATGATAAGATTTTTGAATATTAGGTAATTTTTTGAATGTTTGAAAATAATCTTTAAAATTATAATACTGAAATCCTTCCTTATCCAAATAGCGTTGAGAAGTATTAAGGTGAACTGTAGTAGACTAGTTAACAATTGAAACTACGTCATTTACAGTATTTACCTTACTTTTTCGATAAAGAATTTTGATTAAACCAAAACAACTATCACAAATGAATTTTGTGTGCCCAGGTATTATGAAATTTAATTCAATTTCATCAAACATACCATAATTAATTAACCATGAATAAAAAAATAACGAATAATTGTTTTTGTTTTGTACTATACAATTATCACAAATAACAACTAATTTTTTCTCTCCATAATTATATTTGTGAATAGCATGCTAAACTAAACTTAATGTACAATTGACTCCTTTTTCTTGTTTACCTTCATCAGGTAATTCAGCTTCATTAATAATATAATTTGTTTGTTCTGTATGTGGAAAATTGCCAGCAAACTCCAAATAAATGCACCTTACACAGACTTTTAAAAAATATTGATCCTATCTGTTGTGGTGAATAAGGAACTTGTACATTTTGGGCCCAATCATATGCAATATGAATGCTACCATTAAAGGTTTTAAACATTACTTGAGATTTAGATTTAGTTCTATTCAGATTACATTTGCCATCTTCAACTGCACATATAATATTAGAATTGTAGTATTCACGTTTTTGTTTTGCACGATTTAAGTAAGCCAGATATTTTTCTATTATTGTTAATTTTTTTTCATACTCTGTAATATACTGAATTTCCAATTTTGATTTTTCACAAGTTTCACATAAATCAGACTTTAGAGACATAAATTGAAGTGATGGTATTAATAATTTCCAAATCCTAACAAATAATGTCTCAGAAATAACGTGCATTTCATTCCCATATCTATCCTTAAATACTTGTATATAATAACGATATACAGATGAATAATTATAATTTGTTAGAAGAAATATAATAGGTGAAGAAACTTTATTAAAATGTCGTCCAGGTAAAGGAATATCATGTATATTAGAATAGTTTTTTAAAAATTCATATATTTCACACGATATACTATAATTTATATCGACTCTATTCATATTTTTTAGTAATCTACCAGTGTTACTATGTATACGTTCTTCAAGACCATATTCTTTCAAATGTTTTATTATGGTATCTATATATTTATGATTAACTCCAACAAGTGCTTCATATGTAATACGACAAATTGAAAGATCATTATTGTAATGATAATTGAAACGTAAAAATTTTCTATTTTGGCGGTGACTTTTCTTGTATTTTCATCTTTTTGAAAAGCCAAAAGTTGCCCCTTAATAACCATATCCTGCATTTTTTTATCTAAACTTTCAAATCCTACTCTACGTTCAAGAAACCGCTCATAACCAATTTTTTCATAGCATTTAGAGTTACATGAACATTTTCCATTTTTAAAAAACTCTTTGACTTTTAACT